TGATAGTGAGAAAAATGAAGTATAGACTTCCTTTAAAATCGGTGGTGAGAAAGAAGAAATGGACAGGCAATCACAGCTAAAGGGAGAGTTTGTTTTTGTTTTTTAGGAAGGATTTTTATTTTTTAATTTAAGGGAAGCCCGTTGAAAGTTGAAGGCGCCAAGGAAGCAGAGGAAGTGACTGGAGAGAATAGAAACAATAGGGGCACCTCTGGCACCAGAGCAGAGAGGGTCTTGAGAAAGACAAGGGAAGCACTTCCGCTTGGGCACAGCGTACTGGGCTGCACAGGATGGAAATGAATCTTCAAGAATTCCCAGATGCCAGAGGTAGAGAAGGCCGTAGTTAATGTAGGAGAGGAATCCCACCACACGCCCCCCACCCCCACCCCCAGCACCTTCAAGCACAGGTCAAAGTGGACTTCGCTCTTTTCCCCTAGCACTTGAGTCCTGCTTGCCTCTGTGATCTTTTCTTAGTTCTTTAGTATCTTTCTGGGAAAACCAAAGCAGTTGATCATAAATGCCAGACTACTGTTAATCAGCTGAGACACGTCTAGTCAGTAAGCACTACAATTAAGCTGTAAATCTCACCCTTCCCAGCAGAGGGGGTATAGCTCAGGGGTAGAGCATTTGACTGCAGATCAAGAGGTCCCTGGTTCAAATCCAGGTGCCCCCTCACTGTGTCACTTTTAAGCCTTACCAACCATTAAGATGGTAAAAAATAAAGGTAACATTAACCAATTCTTACAGATTTCACAGTCAGTATCAGGGTCAATTTGCAAACAACAGGAGTACTGTACAATGTGATATCTACAACTTTAGGGCAATGGTTCTTATACATGGAGCTTTATTTAAAGAGGCTACGAGACATTTGATATCACAACAGATGAAATGTAAAAATATGAAGATCCAGCTGTCTTTCCTTAAGCCAGATATTAGAGGGATTTCCAAAAGCATGTAGTGCGAAGCCATTCTTTTTTTTTTAATCTTTAATTTCTTTATTGGTTAAGGTATTACAAATGTGTCCTCATCCCCCCATTAACAACCCCCCCGCCCCCCGAAGCCATTCTTCTCATTAAATTTTATTGTTTGGGAAATTGTAGTTATATTCCAGGCTTATTATTTTAAATGAATTAACAAATAATTAAACATTCACAATTTTAATTTCTAAACTGGTAACTGTCAATAGATAGAACCTATATAAAACAAAAATTTGGGGGTGGGGGGAATCTTCAATAATTTGAGAATGTAAAATAGTCTTCAGATGAAAATATCTGAGAAGCACTGCTCTCAGTAAAGAGGTGGCTCAGGGCGGAGAATGTTGGGGTTGTGAGATGACCCAGGAAAAGATAACATTTGAACAGAGTTATAAAGAATAAATAGTGGTTAAACCAAGAGTCCATAAATCCAAGCAGTTTGGTATTGTCAAAGTGTGAAGTGTAAGAGGGAAGGTGACAAGAGATGAGGCCAGGAAGAAGAGAAGTAATTTCAGGAAAGTCTCTCGCGCTGTGCTAAGGAGCTTGGACTGTGTAAGCACTAGAAGGCCAACACAGGGTTTTAAGCAATGAGAGATTATGGTCAGGCCATTTAGATGCTGTTGCAATGGCCTCTAAAAGGCAGACGTTTGGATAGAAAAACTTAGGAAGTAGAGTTAAGTCAGTAGACCTTGCTGATTAGGTCCGTGAACTTGGGAGAAGAGAATGCATTGTGCCCCTGTTTTCCGGTTTAGACACTGGTGGTAGCGCCAGCCCAGAAAACTAATACGGGCAGGCAGAAGAGCATGTTTTCTGAGAAAATTGTGGTTTCTGTTTTGGACAGTTTGGGTTTCAAGTGCCCGTAGGGTGAAGGTGTCCCAATCATCAGTTCATATGCAGATGTTCCTCAACTTACAATGGGATTACCTCCTGATAAACCCATCATAAGCTGAAAATATTGTAAGTCAAAAATGCATTTAATACTACAATTGGTGAGTATGGTTGTTTACCCTCATGGTCACATGGCTTACTGGAAGCTATGGCTTGCTGCCACTGCCCAGCATCCCTAGAGCCTCATACTGCATATCGCTAGCCCAGGAAAAGATCAACATTCAAAATTCAAACTACGATTTCTGCTGAATATGTATCACTTTTTGCACCATTGTAAAGTAAAAACAAACAAACTTAAGTTGAACCATTGTAAATCTGGGACAATCCTTATTGGCCACAGCTAAGCAGAAATGTCTGGGCTGGAGATATAGACTGGAAAGTGATCAGCATATAGACAGTAATTGAAGCTATTGGGTGGGTATTATCACCCAGAGAAATACAATGAGAGGGGACCATGAGTCAGGAGGAGAGAGCAGTATAGCGTAGTGACTTAGTGCCTGTGCTTTGGAACCAACCAGATTGGGTGGCATTTCAGCTCTGCCTTTCATGATCTGTGTGATCTTGTACTCATGGCTTGACGTAGAGCTCATTTTTCTCCTCTGTAAAATGAGAATGCTACCTTCATAACAGGGCTGTTGGGAGGATCCAGGAAGGCACATTCCTATAAAAGGCTAAACTCAATGACAGGCACTTATTAACACTCCACAAATAGTATGTTTCTATTATTAGTATCATGGAAACCATGAGTGAAGAGTGTTAAAAAGATGGGAATATTCTCAGTGTGAAATGCTGTGGGTCAAGTAAGGTAAAGACAGAGGAGTGTCCTTGGGTTTTGAAAACAAGTAGGTCATGGTGACTTTTCTAGTACAATTTCAGTGTATATATAATCTCTAGTATAACTTTAGTCATACAGTGAGTATAAAAACTAGATTACAGGTCTTTAAGTAATGTGCTAATGCAGGAAGTGAAGAAGTAGAGACAGAGAGAGAGAGACAAACATCATCTGGCGCCTGCATACGCACCACTGGGGATCAAGCCTGCAACCTGGGCATGTGCCCTGCCGGATCAGGAATTGAACCAGTGATTTCTTGGTGTCTGAGTAGATGCTCAACCACTGACCACACCAGTGGCCACCTTGGAAACATTTTGACTCTTCTTTTTCTTCCACACCCCACAAACACATCCAGAATCTGACAGCATCACATTACCTCTACTGCTACCACTTGAGCCCAAACCACTATCCTCTCTCTCCTGGGTTACTGCCAGAGCTTCCTAACAGATCTCTTTACTTGTATCTTTGTGTCCTCTCCCACAGTCTAGTCTCAACTAGAGAGATCCTTCTGACATAGTAGTCAGATCCTGTTTAAACAGGGAAATGGTTCCTCTTCTCAATCCATGTGGTATACAAAGCCCGACATGATAGGATTCCATTACGTCTTAGCTTCTGACCTTGTGTCCTACTCTTTTTCCCTTCACTTACTCTGCCCAGACACACCCGGTTTCCCTGCCGTTCCTATAGTTCAGGCACACTCCTGCCTTAGGGCTTTTTATTAGCTGATGACTCTAGACCAGCTGTGGGCAAACTACGGCCCGTTTCAAATGAATAAAACTAAAAAAATTTAAAAAAAGACTGTACCCTTTTATGTAATGATGTTTACTTTGAATTTATATTAGTTCACACAAACACTCCATCCATGCTTTTGTTCCGGCCCTCCGGTCCAGTTTAAGAACCCATTGTGGCCCTCGAGTCAAAAAGTTTGCCCACCCCTGGTCTAGACCAGTAGTCGCCAACCAGTGGTCCGAGGACCATTGGTGGTCCGTGAGGTCCGAAAGGTTGGCGACCGCTGCTCTGGACTGCTCCTCCCTGGACATTGGTATTACTAACTCACTTATCTTAAAGTCTTTGCTCTAAATGTCAACTCCTTCCATGAAGCCCACACTAACCATTCTATTTTATTTTATTTTATTTTTTTATTATTATTTTTTTAAAAATATATTTTATTGATTTTTTACAGAGAGGAAGGGAGAGAGACAGAGAGTTAGAAACATCGATGAGAGAGAAACATCCATCAGCCGCCTCCTGCACATCTCCTACTGGGGAGGTGCCCACAACCCAGGTACATGCCCCCGACCGGAATCGAACCTGGGACCCCTCAGTCCGCAGGCCGACGCTCTATCCACTGAGCCAAGCCGGTTTCGGCTAACCATTCTATTTTAAATTGCAAGCTACCCCTCCTCCCACTTCCTGATGTCGCTTACCTTGTTCTGCTTTTCTCTTTTTCATACTACTTAACATCATCTAACTACATATTGCAATTATTATATCTACTAGAGGCCGGTGCACAAAATTCATGCATGGGTAGGGTCCCTAGGCCTGGAGGGTGATCTGGCTGCCCGCTGTGGCCTTCCTTCGTTCTGTGCCGCCCCCTGGTGGTCAATACACATCATAGTGAGCAATCAAACTTCCGTCTCCCCGTGGAACTCCCAAGAGGACACTTTGCATATTAGCCTTTTATATATAGAGATTTCTATATATAGATAGATTGTTCAGTGTCTAATATCCATCTTCACCACCACCCAGCAGTGAGCTCCGTAAGGGCAAGAATGTTGATCTGTTTTGTCCTCTGATGTAGTCTAGTGTATGCCCAGGACAGTATCTGGCATAAAGTGGGCACTCAATATTTAAAGGAATGTAGTATTGACAGAAAGAAACCAGGAGAATGGAGGAGGCTGAAGCTGTGAAAGGGGTAATTAATAAAGCAAGATGGGCATGGGGCCAGGCACACCTATAGTTGTAATGATCTGTGGTGCTAGAATGGCACTTCTCAATTATATCACAGCCTAATGAACCCATTCAGCGTTTTCCCCTAGCCCTCCCACACCCTGATCTTTGGGGGCCCCTGCACAGCACAGATGTTTTAACCATTTCAGAACGTAGTATCCAGCCAGGTCCCTGGCACTAAGTGCTCAAAAACAGGTGGTTGGGTAAATTAACAAACCAACGTTTCCGTGTTCTCAACTACTTCCGAACTCGTGGAGGGGAGACTCTAGGTTTCATTCGCTTCCGCAGCCCTCAACCCCGTAACCGCCCACTTCCAGGGTTTATTACGTCATACACGTCGCGCTGGGGGAAGGGGCGGGCTGAGCAAACTCCGGACCACGTGACGATCGTGGGCGGGGCGCAAAGGCTCATATCCCAGCATCCTTTGTGAGCACTTCCTTTCCATCCCTTTCCGGCGTCCAAGATGTCGAAGAGAGGTGAGGTTTTGGCCCTGGGTGATCCCTCTCCATCTGCTGCGTGGTGGCTGCTGGCCTCGCCGGGAGCGGCGGCCATGGGCAGCTGGGGCGCTTTGCTCTCGTCCGAGCCGGAGAGGGTGAGGAGGGGCCCCGCGAGAGTACTGGCTGGGCCCCCGAAAGTGGCGGTCGGGGGGCCCGGAGAGTTGAGCTGCGGGATTCGGACATGATGCCGGACCGCACCCCGCGTGCTCGCTGCGCGCCCAGCGCTGCGGGAATGGGGTTGAATCCCGGTTGACTTAGGCCCGAGAGGGGGGGACTTGCGCGCTCCCCCGCTTTGCAGGGAGAACGCCGTGGTGCAAAAGTCGGAGCGAGACTTGAGTCGTACAGGCCCCTTAATCTGAACGTAAAGGTGGTTGTAGGGAGGAGTTGGCTATTTGCCCCGAGGACTGGTTGGCACATGGGAAGGGAGCGAGTCCGTGCATATGCGCATGAATTGAAAGCCTGAGAATGAAGGGGACTCCGAGCCATGGCCGGACGGCGAGCGCTCTGCTGTTTCACCCACAGGACGCGGCGGGTCCTCCGGGGCGAAGTTCCGGATTTCCCTGGGTCTTCCGGTAGGAGCCGTGATCAACTGTGCTGACAACACCGGTGAGACCTGCGGCTGCGCCTGCGCACCTGCCCCTTTTAAAAGCACTCGTTGGGCCTCTTGCTGATGACCCACTGAGCCGTCAAGAAAGGGCAAAGAAAAGACACCGCTTTTGGGTGAAGCGGCAGCGTGTTGTGTTGCTTTGCTTCAATCGGTGGTGTGACAAGGTGTCCGCCTTGGGGTGGGGGTGAGTGTGGCGGGCGGGGGAGGCTTTGGAAGGGTTGGGGGAAACGTTACCACGGCCGAGCTGCCTAATAGACCCTCAGAAAAACATCACTTCTGCTTACACTCCTTTCTAGGAGCCAAAAATCTGTATATAATCTCCGTGAAGGGGATCAAGGGACGACTGAACAGACTTCCTGCCGCCGGTGTGGGTGACATGGTGATGGCCACAGTCAAAAAAGGCAAACCGGAGCTCAGAAAGAAGGGTGAGTGAGAGCCCTCATTGCTTGTTGGACAGCCGGAGACTTCTCCCTTGACCGAGTAATTTTACCGTTCTCCAGGCCTCTTAAAGCTTGATTTCCTTAGAGAGGCAATGTGAGGTCAATATTCTAAGTTCTTCATTGACTTCCCATGTACACTAGGGGCTCCATCCCCCAAATATTTACTCTGCCATTTCCCCCAGCAAGTTCAGCTGGTAATTATAGGCCACCTCGCCTACCTACACACATGGAAACAAAAGCCCCTAAGTGTGTGACATGTGGTTGTCTCTTAAGGTCTTGAGTTCATTGCTGACTCCCTGGGCTACAGGTGGGTATGGAGGTACTGAGTAAATACTTGTTTTTGATGCTGGTTTGGAGTTCACCCAGGTGAGATCACAGCCTTAGGACCTGGCCTGTCCTCAGGCAGGTTCCCTTTTCTGGAACTGCTGATTTCAAAGGGGATGGTGGTACTTCCTCAAGTGGGCACAGTCAGGCAAGGTGCTGAGCGTGTAGAGCAAGGGTCCTCAAACTTTTTAAACAGGGGGCCAGTTCACTGTCCCTCAGACCGTTGGAGGGCCGAACTATAGTTTAAAAAAACTATGAACAAATTCCTATGCACACTGCACATATCTTAATTTGAAGTAAAAAAACAAAACGGGAACAAATACAATATTTGTATTTGCATGTGGCCCGCGGGCCGTAGTTTGAAGACCCCTGTTGTATAGAGCATTGGGCCTGTTCCCTAGCACTTTGTAGGTAGGAGTATCACATGGTATTTCTCATTCTTTAAGACAGGTTCTTTTTTTAGATGAGATGTAACGTTTGTGGTTGCTTCTGAATTTCTTCTGATAGAAACTAAAACAGGGAGCTGCCTTTCCCAGAAGTTTTCCTGTGAGGTATATGAATTAATCAATGTGTGGATTGGGGTGGACAGGCTTCCCTTTTAGAACACTTGCTGGGTCTGATGTGTGGCCTGGGGGGCTGTCAGGGAAGGGCAGAGCAATTGGCCATGGCTGTGGGTGAGATGGCAGCAGGATGTGCTGTGGGTCTCACTCAGTATTGGGACAGACCAGAGAACAGAACACTGCATGGTTCCAAAAATAGTTGTGCGTTTTCCACTCTGTTAATGTCCTCTTTGGTCCTTATTTCTGCTAATCAAATATGTCTCACCTTAGACTTAGCATGTAATGCAGAAGTGTGGAAAGGGGCAAGACTGGAAGTCCAGGATCCTAGGTTAGATCTGTAGGTTCACCTGTGATAATGTAAATGGGTTATAAGTAGATCAGGGTCCAACAGGTGGTACTCAGTAAATACTATTTGCCTGTCGCTCTGTGTATTCTTGTTAAGGACAAGAGGCTGTCTATGTCCATAGAACTTGACTCAAGGATTGTCAGGTTCCCTGACCGTGTGTGGTGTGTATGTGTGTGTGTGTGTCTTTATTGATTTCAGAGAGGAAGGGAGAGATACAAACATCAATGACGAGTGATAATCATTGATCGGTTGCCTCCTGCATGCTGCCTACTGGGGATCCAGCATACAACCTGGGCCCTTGACTGGAATCGAACCTGAGACTTTTCCGCCTGCTGGCTGCCGCTCTATCCGTTGAACCAAACTGGCTAGGGCACCTTACTATGTTTAAATAACTGGAATATCTTGAGAGTTACAGGAATGCCAATGCAAATCGAATCCAGCATGCAAAAACAGATTCTGATAAAATACCAAAAATGCATGGTACTTTTGCTGACAAAGAAGAAAAAAGCCCAAACTGAAACAGATAGCAGTGACTGCAAAGAAAAGGCCTGGTCAGGGAAAACCAAATTCAGCTAATACCCAAGGAAATGCAACATCAAGCTCTCACTCGGGTCCCTGATTACCCTCCAAACTATATTTTATTCCTTAATAATTTAGCCAAAGAGACTAATGAGATGTTATCTATGCTGTTTAATTGGTTACTTGGTTTCAAGGAAGTATGTTTGGTGCCTGAGAGGCATGGCATTGCATTTGTTGAATTTGGAAACGACAGGCTGGTGCTTCCAAGGATGCTTTACAAGGATTTCATTAAGATCATGCTGTCCTGCCATGAAGAGCGCCTGTGCTGAGAAAAAACATTTGGAATAGTTGTCTTTAAAGGATTTGGTGTAATATACCATGTGGTCAGGCCATTTAATAGTTGGGTGGGTAGTGATAATGAACTTTTTGTGCAGGTTTTTAAAAAAAATTACCTAGACTATGTCTAGCCTTGAGGAACTATGAAATATGAAGGCCTCATTTTTGTACAATAAACATACGAGTTTGTATTTGGAAAACCTAAGGTATGGAACGTACTTAATTCCAACAAATTCTTGGATGCAGTAATTTTTAGATCAAGGTATGTACTGGTTGGAATATTGCCTAATGAATTAACAGTTTGGCCTCTCCACGTGTTCAGTCTGGAGTGTGGGGGGCGGACAGGCTATTCCCTCTTCTATGATACTAGGATCTTGACAGTATCCACCCATTGGGTGAAATGGGAAAAAGTATAGGAAGTGTTTAGCAAGCTTCCTCATACATCTGTCCAAGTGGGGAATGTTGGGGAACTAGACGATGTGTAAACTGCTTTCTTATGGTGGCATTGAGACCTGACCTGAGAGATTAATGGCTGCTGTCCTTTTTCCTCCTCAGTACATCCAGCGGTGGTAATTCGACAACGAAAGTCATACCGGAGAAAAGATGGCGTGTTTCTTTATTTTGAGGATAATGCAGGGGTTATAGTAAACAATAAAGGGGAAATGAAAGGTAAGAAAGGACCCACATTGTTCCTTAGATCTTTGAGATTGGGTGATTTCATTCTTGGGTCTAGGAGCACAGGCAAAGGAGGGACCCTCTGATCTTACCTGACACCTTTCTTCTTTTATGCAGGTTCTGCCATCACAGGACCAGTTGCAAAAGAGTGTGCAGACTTGTGGCCCAGGATTGCATCCAATGCTGGCAGCATTGCATGATTCTCTGGTGTATTTGTAAAGGAAAAACCCATTAAAAATTGATGACATGAAATGCTTGCCTTCTCTTCCTTTCTACATGGCACTCTTCTTGACACCATGTAACTCTCCCCTCTTTTGTAAAACAAACTACTCCGCAAACTTTCCATGGATGTATGTTAAAAAAAAAAAAAAAAAAAGATAGTCTTTGCACTGTGGTGAGTGTACAGAACTTTTGCAACATCCCAATTTCTGCTATTAAAAAACACACTAGATATTTGGGTTTGGAGTCCATAAATAAGTGGCAGGTACTGCTTGATGATAGGATACCCCAGAAAACTACTGTGCAGTGAGAAAGATATTCAAGACTAGAGGCCTGATGCCTGAAATTCGAGCAAGAATAAGCTTTCCTTCCCCTGGCTGCCAGCACCGGCTTCCCTCTGGGACCAGTGGGGAAGTTGGCTTTGTCCTTCCGGATGTCTCATCTAATTAGCATATTATGCTTCGATTATTATAGATAGGTAGAGTGACTGCTCAGATCCTAGACATGCTTATGGAGCCCAAGGGGTGATGTCAGTAGGAACCATGTACACACTTGTATGCACACTTGCATTGACAGGTTTTCTTGGAGATTTGCATGTAAACCAGGATATTTGTAAAGCCTAACACATGGTAAATGCCATGCCTCTTGTAGATGATTCATATCTGCAGCAGTTTTTGCCATAACATCTTTTTTTAACATCATTATTGATATCAGAGAGGAAGGGAGAGAAACTGATCAGCTGCCTCCTGCACACCCTCTACTGGGGGTCAAGCCCACAACCCAGCATGTACCCTTGAGTGGAATCAAACCTGGGACCTTTCAGTCTGCAGGCTAATGCTCTATCCACTGAGCCACACCAGCTAGGGCTGCCATGTTTTGACAGGATGGCCATATATATGCCAACCTCTGTTTTGAGAATAAAAGGAGAGGATATAATTGTGTCAGCACAATAGGCATAAATCCTGGCAAGTTGTGCCTGAAGGTATTGACTTCTATTGTAGCTTTTCTTTCCAAACTGAATTAGGTGACATATTTAGGGTACGGAGAAAGAACACTTTGCTGGTTTGGATTAATAATGCAGCCTCATATATATCTAGTATATGAAAATACTCTGCCTTAAATGTTACCTTTAAGTTGGGTATAATGTAAGGCTGAAGCTTAGAGTACATGAAGACCCTGCCTAGCTCAGTCACTTGAGATGACTACCTTTCGTCCAAGATGAGGGATGGAATGTACCAGGACTAGAGAGCAGTGGTTTTCAACGGGAGGAATTTTTTTTAATGTGGCCAGGCCATATCCCAGACCAATTAAGCCAGACTGGAGGTAGCATCAGTACTTTTAAAAGCTGCCCAGATTCCCAAGGTGTAGCCAAGACTAAGAACCACTGCTCTGTTTAAACTGAGCCTTGGTTTCAGGAATATTGAAGTCTCTAAAATAGACTTTCTGCTACTGCATTCTCCAGCCTGGTGAACTTCAAATCTGTGACAAGCCACCAGGTCCTTTATTGAAAAGGAATCCTACTGCAGGCATGGCTCGGTGGTTGAGTGTGGACCTATGAACCAGGAGGTCACGGTTTGAATCCTGATCAGGGCACATGCCCAGATTGTGGGCTTGATCCCCAGTGTGGGTGTGCAGGAGGTAGCCGATCAATGATTTTCATCATTGATGCTTCCATCTCTCTCCCTCTCTGAAACAATAAAAATATATTTATTAAAAAATGTTAATAGTAAAATAATCCCTCCTTCAGCCCGTGAAAGGATGAATAGCACCTCAGAGCTGGTGTGAGCAGTCCGTATAGGGTGCTTTGATATATAAGCACCTATATGGATTTAAGGGGAAAATTTGGGAAGTAAGTACCTGAAGCCATAACTAAAGAAAATCATTGTTTAGGTTTTGCTGTATCCTATCATATACATTAAGTTAGCCAGAGGAAAAAGTATGGCAATATGTCAACCTGTTTTTTTTGCGGGGGGGGGGGGGGGAGCGCTGACAGGAAGAGAAATACTGATGGGAAGAATTGGGTGGGGAGGGAGGAAGTGCTTTAAGTGCACTTAACTAGAAGTCAGGAGACTGAATTCTGGTTCTGGGTCCACCAGTAAATGAATTTAGCTTCAACTTTCAATTCTGTAAGAGTTGGAAGTAGATGCTATTTGAACTCTTTCTGATCCATCTGGGCACATGATTTTCAACAGAACTGAGTTGGGAAAATGCGTATAAGGTGGGAACAGAACCTTGTTCTTAAAGGAAAGCGGGAAGCTGGGCCCGACCGCACTCACAAGGCACGCATTCAGTAATCCCTTTTCCCCTTCAGTCTCGGGCATGGCCGCCTCCGGCTCATCCCGCTGGGCCAAGCAAGCAACTTCCCCCGCAGCTCTAAGCGCCCACCCGGTTGGATGGGACAATAGGGTTTGTGTCGCAGGCGTCCTGTCCTGAGACCACGTAACAATGCGCGGGGGAGCCCTCTGCCTGGGCCCTCCCACTCCCACCAGAGGGGTCCTTGGAGGGCGGTGGTCGGGATGGTGCACTTGGGTGAGTATCCTCTGCGGTTGCAGAAGGGCTTTATCTTGGATGGGGTAGCCCTGAGCACCATGGCCCGCAACTATGAGCACTTGAAGCCCAAGGTCTGGTCTGCGATTCCGCCTTACAATGCGCAGCAGGACTACCACGCCCGTCGGTACTTCAAGAGCCGTGTGATTCCGCCCATTTTGCAGAAAACCGGTCAGGTATAGGAACTCCCCAAAGCACCCCACTGTTTGCCTGCAGGGGTTGTCCCTGGTGGCGGACTGATTTCCCACATCCTGGCAGCTCACTCCAGCGCCCGCCCACCAGGGAGGTTCCCCCCTCTTCCCCCCCCTGCACCCCCTCCTCCCGCCGCCAACACACACCTCAGTTTTCTTCATGCACACACGGACCTGGCCCAGGTGATGACAGGTATTGAGCGTGAGCTCCCTGGGCTCACAGAATCACCTTCTATCCCTGTACTTGAGAAGGATCTCATTTTGGGTTTCTGCAAGCCTAGGAAACCTGACTCAAAGTCCGCTTCTCCCAAACCGATTTCATTGTCCTTTTTGACGTCATGGACCCGCCCTTTGGGGTGACCTCACACTGCAAATTCTCTAAAAGCTCGAAATTCTGTGACCTCAGTGAACAAGACAAAGACCCACCAAGTGCCACACCCTCTGTTCGGTGACGTCATAGTTATAGTGGGGCTCACTCCAAGGAACCTTGAGCTGAAACCTCCCAACCCTCCTTGGATCTCCCTTCTCCCCAGGCCTTTCCCTGGTGGGCGGGGTGGGGGGGTGGGGGGGGTGGGGGGGGCGAAGGGGGGAAAGGGCGGGGTTTGCCCCTCCCCAGCAGACTATTTCCCTGGGGTCAAAGATTCTGAGGCTATTTGCTAATGGTTCATATATTTTTCTTGATTTTAGAGAGAGGACGGGAGAGGCATAGAGAGGTAGAAACATCGCTGAGAGAGAAACATTGATCGCCCTACTTGGGGTCGAGCCCGCAATTCCGACATATGCCCCGACCGGGAATTGAACTGTGACTTCCTGGTTGATGTGCCCACACCCAACTACTGAGCCACACTAATTGGGCTGGTTCCATTGTTTTCACCCCTTTTGCCTCCAATATTGGTGCCTATATGTCACAGTGGTATGAATACGACTTAATGGGGGTTATTCCATAACAAATCTAGGGTTTTTTTGGTTTTTTTTTGAATCCCAAGTGTTTGTGTGTGCACGTGCATGTTCAGTACAAGTATATACGGACACACATCTGCGCATGCCATGTTTGAGTGTGTACTTGCTGTTTACTCATATAGCTTTTATGACAGAAGGAGCTGTCATATGGGGAGGCCTTTGAAAAGAATATGGCTTACACACTTTTGAAATTTTCTGTTCCGTTTTGTAAGTAGCTTAATTGTCACAACCACCATTTGTGGTAGGTATTATTTTCATTTAAATGAAAAGGTTTTTTTTAAAAAAGATAAGGTTTATTGAACCTTTACTATGCCAGGCCCTTTATTTGAAACATCTCACTTAAATCTCACAGCAACCCTCCTTTTACTGATGAGGACACTGGGGTCCAGAAAAGCTGTGTCATCGGCCTCGGCCACGCAGCTTGTTAGTGGCGGAGCTGGGATTGGAAACTGTCTGGCAGCAGACACTGGGCCCCTAAGGGTCAAGCTGCACAGCCTCTCCCTGAGAGGCAATAGAGATCATAAGTATCTTTAATCTTTCTGGCCCTCTTACCCCTGGCTGTGACCTCTACCCCCTTCCCACAAGCCACAGGGGCCGCATTGTGCATGTCTCAGCACGGGGGCTGACAGTCCTTTTTTTCCCCTAACCGTCTTCTGTATTCTCTCCCTCACTCTCAGGATCATGGAGGTACAGGAAGGGACGGCTGGGTAGTGGATTATTTCCACATCTTCGGGGAAGAACAGAAATACATCAACAGGAGAAACTGGGCAGGGGCAGGCAAGTGGTCCCACCTAGGAAGAGTGGTGTGCATCCCACAGTTCAGAGAGAGAAAGTGGGTGTAGAGAGACCTGTTTGGGGAGAAGAGGGCCAAGGACTGCATCCTCCAGCTTTTCTTCTTAGATAAGAGCAGAAGCTGAAACAGTACTCCCCATAGGTAGTTACTGAGCACCTACTGCATGTCGGGTGCTTTTCCCCCTCACACTACCCCCATGTTACAACCTGGGAAACTAGGACTGAGGGAGTTAAAGTGATTTGCTCAGAAGAGCTGAGCAAGGATTGGGATTCTACTTTTCTAACTCTAAAGCCTTTATCCCTCTCATTGCTCCTGGGCAGGCTGTCTCCTGCTTATCTTACAGGCACAGTTGAGCAGCTACAGGAATGGGAGAGTTGACAGATACTTTTCTGACACTCCTCCCGCCCCAATCCCACCACCCTGTAGCCACACTCTATAGTCACGTGACCCTCTGTAACATTTGGCCACACTGAGCACATCAGTGTTCTCCAGATGGGTTAGGGGCAAGGATGGAATTTTCTCAGTTCTAGGAGCAAGGCAAGTTTGGCCAAGCCCAGAAATGTCTGACCCTCATGTACCATTCAGACTCCTCCTGCACGCTACTCATACTCCTCCTGGTATGAGGTTGGGTTTCTAGGTAGCCATCTGTTTCCTTGACTTCACCAACCCTTGGCTTTTCGGTAAAGAGGCTTGAGACATTTGAGGTTGGAGGGTTCCGCCAGACACGGGGAGCACAGCAGCTGTAGCTGGGTTGGTATTAGGAAATCCCAGTGGAAGTGGAGAAAGCAAGAGGGGGCTGCCTGCAGGCTCAGGCCTCTCTCTCCATCCGCCAGGGCATTCCTTCCAGCAGGTGATCGGCCATGACTACTACAATGCTGATCTGAAAACGATCAGGGGGTACAACGGTCTGTTTGGCTACCGCAGGAACACCCCAGCCCTCCGCCAGTGCCCATCTGTTTTCGGAGAGGTCACCCGACTCCCTCTCTCCTAACAGCAGCTCTTCCTTTCATACCCCTTGAACTGAGTTTCTATGACAGATGCTTAGATGAACTCCCAATACCATTTTACATAAACATTGTTTTAAATCTGTGCCTCCAAGTGTGCTGTTTCTTCCCCGAGTTTCAGGGGGAGGGGGACTAGTTTCTCTAGTCTCAGCTCTTCTCCCCAGTGGAGAGGAGGTGAGAGGAGAAAGTGCATCTCAGGCTTGTGCCTTTACACTCCATGCCAACCAGTGCCAGGCTTGCGAGGCCTCCCTCAGGCCTCCCTTGCCAGTGTGATACGGAGGAACCACACGACCCAGCCCTCAACAATTCTCCCCCAGACATCTGCAGGGCTAGGTCAGAGCTGGCTACCGTTTCCACCACGAATGGAGCAAGCAGGGTGGCCACACAAACTAAGGGAAAGGAAATGGGGAAGCTGGTACATTCCGAGGGTTTGGTGCAGGGCGGCCGATGGAATTTCGGTTTGATTGTTTCTACTTAACCTCCATAAAGTAGATCTGATTTAAGGCAGTCAGCGCTGTGTCCAGGTTTGAGGAGAATGCGTGTGTTTTTTTTAAAATCCTTATTTAATTTTTTTAAAGTATTACATATGTCTCCTTTTCCCCCAATTGACTATCCCCCACCTCGCCGCCCGAGAGTGCGGGTTTGAAAAGCCGTCTGGAAAACCGGGGTGTGTGGGGGAGGTGCCGGGCGAGGCGACCGGACCTGGTCCACGCTGGGGCCACCCCGCGAGACACCGATGGAAGCCCCGAGAGGGACGCCGCGGCGCGCTGCCATGACAACCGAACTGCTGGGCGAGGCCTACTAGCCACGTAACTGATTACCGCAGCGGCGTCTGAACACACCCATCGCGATGGCAGACGTGGTGCCAACCCGAGGGCCCAAAACGAGGCCGCGGACGCCGCAACCTGAGGGCCTCGAACCGCAACAGCCCACGTGACGCTCCTGCTACGTAGCGTCACAGAGTAAACAACGTCATCACCCCGCGACGCCGTCGCCGTATTGGAACGCCCTCCCGGAAGTAGAATGTAGATCCGGCTGTGAAAGCGGCCGCCGGTGGCCCCCGAGAACAGACCGGGGGCAGTCGCACCTGAACTATTTCTCTGCGTTTCCTCTCGCTCCTTCCTGAGTCTTCCAGGTCCACGGAGTGAGGACACGTCTCCGCCATCATGGGGGGCGGAGACCTGGTAAGTGAGGGAGGCCTCGGCCGGGAGGACTGAGGCTGGAGACAGGGTTGGGCTCGGGACGGAATTGGTGGGAGTGGGTAACCGTGGCAACGCAGCCTCGCTTTCACCGGGGTGAAGTTGGGGGGGGGGGGGGCGTGCTGTAGCCCTGGAGAGGGGACGGATCACTAAGGCTACGGAAGGACTGAGCGGAGACCTGGGGAGGTGGGCCAGGTGTGTCCCCAATGGTGGCAGGTGTTTGTGTGTGTGTTAGGGGGGCCCTCGGCTGGAAACTGAGTCCAGGGGAAGGCCCGGGGGCCAGGGTTGAAATCATGGGTAGGAAAGGAGGCAGGTCTCGAGGACGGGTCCCGCAGGCATTATTTTGTATGTCTTGTCTGGGGACACAGATCTGTCTTTCTCAGCTAGGAGTTCAGAGCGACGTCCTGGGCTGTAGTAGGCGTGGCTTATGCCCCATTCTTTCTCTTGAGCCATGTCCTGGGGTCCATTTTAAGCCTGAAAGGATGTTCATGCCCACCTTTTCCGTTTCTCCTTCAGTGCTGCATTCTTATTTATAGTGTCAGAGTTTTCTCCTGAATTTTTAGCACTTAATATACGTTAAGTGGCCATTGCTCTTAAGCAGAATAGTTCATTTGTAGAGGGCTGAGGCCTTAAATTGGGCAGTGACCCACAGAGCATGGTGCAACATCAGGGAAACGCTAACCTCTTGGAAGTTTAGCTGATCGAATCAGCACATCAATTAAGTCACCTGTCCAGTAGCTGTTAGAGTTTGTCAGATGTTACTGAGTTCCAGTACTCCATCAAGGTTCCTCGAATTTGGTGTGTTCTTTGGAAAACTGCATTTAGAGACAGGAAAGCTCTTTTTCTTTTTAATGGAAAATGCAAATTTTAAAAAAATTGTTGAAACTATTACATATGTCCTCCTCCCCCTCCCCCCCATTAACTCCCTTCAGCCCCCACCGCCCCAGGCTCTCACCACCTAATTGCATGTGGAACAGGAAAGCTCTAATCCAGGGTTTCCCAGCCTCAGTGCTATTGACATGCAAGGCTGGATAGTTCTTTGTTGTGTGTGTGTGTGTGTGTGTGTGTGTGTGTGTGTGTGTTCCTGTGCATTGTAGTATGTTTACCAGCATCCCTGGCTTCTAGCCACTAGTACCACCCTTCTCCCCCACTTGTGCAACCAAAAATGTCTCTAGACATTGCCTCCCCATCAGCTTACACTCCATCTCCAGCCACAGTGAACTGTTTGTGCTATATTCTTTCTCACCACTGTGCCTTCACCTGTGTGTGCTGTTCTGTTTGGAAATCCTACCCCTGCCTCCCCTATTTCTACATTATCAGGTTAATTTATAATTGTTCTGAGATGTCATTTCTTCCAGGAAACTCTCCCTGATTGGGAAAGCTGGGCCAGAGCAGTGGCTCTTGGGGAGGATGGAGAGGAGAAGGGTGAAGGGTGGGGGGAGGTGAGAGCCAAGGGGAGATTCCTAGGAAGGAAGGTTGGAAGAGGTACTAGATGGGGTTGTAAACCATGCAAGTGTAAGGCAGGTTAAATGAGCTGAAGGAAAAAAGAAGGCTGTGTTCATAACAATGAATGTTGCTTTACAGAGTCTATACCTTTCCATCTCCTTGCCCCATTCCCCCTGTATTGTCATCACCAACCCTCACTTCAGACATAGCCAATGGAAGTCAGACTTATATGCAGTTCAGGCTAAAAGTATTAGAAGGGAATTCAGGAAGGGCCTTTTGTATCCTGAAGCTTTATGCACTTGACCAAAAACCCCCTGGTGTGTGAGAGGTTGTGGGTGCCAACCTTGTCATTGTTAAAGACAGTCTTGACCTTCCATACGCCTGCCTTGGTGTGATTAGGGTACAGAGGGGTGGGTGAGGCAGGGCCAGTTGTGTTTACCACCCATACACTCCCTGAATTGTTTCTCCCTCCTTTCAATTACCACAGAACCTGAAGAAGAGCTGGCACCCGCAGACACTCCGAAATGTGGAGAAAGTGTGGAAGGCTGAGCAGAAGCATGAGGCTGAGCGGAAGAAGATCGAGGAGCTTCAGCGGGAGTTGCGGGAGGAGAGGGCCAGGGAGGAGATGCAGCGCTACGCGGAGGATGTTGGCGCTGTCAAGTAAGCCAGGGGCTGAGGGTGGGCATGGGGGGCTGAGGGTGTCCTGGTGTGTAGGGAACGGCAGGACTGGCCCACAGGTGCAGCATCCAGCTGTTGCACAATAGCTGATTAAAAGGGGTTTTGGAGTCAGACTGACCTGGGTTCTGAGGCTGGCTTTGCATGGACGAGCCTCACCATGTAACTGGGGGCAAGTTTGGGAGCCTTGGTTACCTCACTAGACCCAGGAGAGAGAGTTCCCAGTTTCCAAGGTTTGTGGACGATGGACTGAGATAACATGTGGAGGGCTTGGTGCAGGCCAAACTCATGGTGGATGATTGGCAAGTACCCACAGCTGAGGGTGATGGCTGCTGCCTGCCTCTGGTATGTGTCAAGGCCTCGCTCCTGGTTTTTTTGTTTGTTTATGTATGAAAGGCTCGTTTTAGGGGGGCAGTGAGGCCTCATGGAAGGAGGTGGATAGTGTGTCTGTCAGTAAAAGCTGTGTGACTGTGGACAGTCCCACTCGATGTTACCCTGCTTGTTTCCTCTTGTGTAAAGAGGATAGGAGTAGCAGGTAATAATTACCCGTCTTGTGAAAGGAGGTGGGAGTAAATGTGTTCTGAGGAAAATTAAAATCATGAAATATGCGGGGCATTTCTAAATCAGAATTGAATAAAAGCCACAGGAGACTAAAATTGAGTAATCTATCACTTTTCTTTCTTTTTTTTAAATATATTTTTATTGATTTCAGAGAGGAAGGGAGAGGGAGAGAGAGAGAAACATCAATGATGAGAGAGAATCATTGATTGGCTGCCTACTGCACACCCCCTACTGGAGATCGAGCCTGCAACCAGGGCATGTGCCCCTGACCGGAATTGAACCCAGGACCCTTCCGTCCACAGGCTGGCGCTCTATCCACTGAGCCTAACCGGCTAGGGCCATCTATCATTTTTCTTGTTTATGTCCTCGTGGGCACGTCTCCTGGGTAGTGTGTAGCATGCGCCCCCATTGGATACACAGGGCTTTTCCTTAATAATTTCATGACAGGAGGATTTGTGACATTCAAGATTGTGTGCATGTGAGACCTAGTTTCAGTTCATGGAAATGGAATTATGAAACTGGTTGGGCATTAATTATTCTTATTAGCCCGGCTGGAGTGGCTCAGTGGTTGAGCGTTGACCTATGAACTAGGAGGTCCATAGTTCAGTTCTAGTATATTAAAAAAGTATATTTTAGCTGAAACCAGTTTGGCTCAGTGGATAGAGCGTCAGCCTGCGGACTGAAAGGTCCCAGGTTCGATTCCGGTCAAGGGCATGTACCTGGGTTGCGGGCACATCCCCGGTGGGGTATGTGCAGGAGGCGGCTGGTCGATGTTTCTCTCTCATCGATGTTTCTGACTCTCTATCTCTCTCCCTTCCTCTCTGTAAAAAATCAATAAAATATATATATTTTTTTTAAAAAAGTATATTTTAAAAAAATGTCCGGCCCTACCTGGTTTAGCTCAGTGGATAGAGCATTGGTCTGTGGACTGAAGAGTACTGGGTTCGATTCCAGTCAAGGGCATATGCCTGGGTTCCGGGCTTGATCCCAGTGTGGGGCGTGCAGGAGACAGCCAATCAATGATTCTCTCTCATCATTGATGTTTTTTCTCTCTCTCTCTCTCCCTCTCTGAAATCAATAAAAATATATTTAAAATAAAAAATTAAATGTCCAAAAGCCCTGGCCGGTGTGGTTCAGTTGGTTGAGTGTTGTCCATGCACCAAAAGGTTACTGGTTTGATTCTCGTCAGGGCACATGCCTAGGTTGTGGGCTCCATCCCCAGTAGGGAGCAAGCGGGAGGCAACCTATCAATGCTTCACTCTTGCATTGATGTTTCTCTCTCTCCCTCTCCCTTTCTCTCTCTCAGAAATCAGTAAAAATAATATTTTTTAAAATGTCCAAGGATGTAACCAAGAAGACGTTCTTTATGCTCATAGTTGTTATATAATCTTAAACAAAAACAAACACACAAAATAATCATATTTAAAAAACAATTTAATGTTATAGATAATGCTGTTTTGATGAAAAAACGTTGCTGCTTGCAGTGTGAGTGGGGTATTAGCTGCTTCAACATAAGCTTTTATGAATTCAGCGTGCCTTTATTGTCTGTTGTATGAGGGTTCAGTTTTCTCACCACCGACTATAGGGAAATATTTATTTGGCATGATACTGTGACATAATTGCCCCCCTCTTTTGGCGTGAAAGCATAATTTTGTGATCAGGTTATCTCTGGTCTTTTTTCACCGTCTCCATAACTGTAGTGTCACTGCTTGTGCCAATGTGCCAATGAGCACCAAAACACACAGTGAACACAACTGCATATGTGGTCACTGAAATTGGTCTTGGTAACGAGATTGTCAGAATATGCTTATTGTTTCAGATTATTCTAGAAATGAAAGGACAATATAGAAGCTTATGTAGAAGCCCTGGGCAAAAGATCTGTGCCCCAGGCTGAGGAACATAAATTGTTTCCTCATAAATTGCTTTAGGTGGTGAAAGTGAGCTTCGCTAAGTGGTAAGCTTCATGCTGGCAGGCACCATTTCTCCCTGTGTGCCATGGGGAGTACTGTGCTTAGCCCATCTTAGGTGCCTGTAGAATGAGTCCTGCTCTGACCAGCTATGGTTATCTATCCTTTGTGTTCAGGTTTTGTGTATAGGTATCTACATTTTCTTTTCTTTTCTTTTTTCTTGATCTAGGAAGAAAGAAGAAAAATTGGACTGGATGTACCAGGGTCCTGGTGGGATGGTGAACCGTGATGAGTACTTGCTGGGGCGCCCCATTGACAAATACGTTTTTGAGAAGATGGAGGAGAAGGAGGCAGGCTGTTCTTCTGAGACAGGACTCCTCCCAGGCTCTATCTTTGCCCCTTCGGGTGCCAACTCCCTCCTTGACATGGCCAGCAAGATCCGCGAGGACCCACTCTTCATCATCAGGTACTGAGGAGGGGCTGGGAAGGGGTTTTGTTACAGAGATGCTTAGTAGAGTGTTACTTAGCTTCTCGCTTCACAGCTGGTTTCCTCTTAGCTTTTATATATCATGTAAAAGAATTTGTCTCCATTTGTGCTGCTTGATGTTGGGAAGGAGGCTCCATTATGGGTGCCTGGTATAGGCCATATGGGAAGAGATTGGCAAGTGGACCAGACCAGACTAAACCAGATGAACAGATTTATTCATTTACTGTTGTCCCTTAATAAAAAATGCGAGAGAAGCAAGGTGAGGAAGACGGGTAGCTTCTTGGGAATTTGGAGATCCGCGGCCATCAATTGACACACAGGCTGACCCCGTTTACCAGACTATTTGGGAAGCCTTGAGTGTGAAGCCCAACAAGAAACACACCAGCTCTCTTGCACCACAGGGAACCAGCGTGGACTTTCCTCACAATATTCAGCCCCTTACGCAGGTTTGGGGAGGTTTCTGGCTTTCACCCCATCATGTAGATTTCAACATAGGACCTGCCTACATGCCTTTCGAAAAAAGATTGCTACATAGAATTGTGGAGAGTAGAATGAGTGACTTAATCTCCTTCCTAAAATAAGTTGTTATGATTTTTATAATTTTCTCTCTTTAGGAAGAAGGAAGAAGAGAAAAAAAGAGAGGTATTGAATAATCCTGTAAAAATGAAGAAAATCAAAGAATTGGTAAGTAGTGCATCAAATGAGCACCAGGAGTATCTTTCAGCTACATTAACATGAGAACTTCACTCCATTTACTCTTACCTTACGAGAAGGAAAACTGGCTTTAAAAATTTTTGTCTTTTAGAGACCTTTTGCTGGTGATTTTATGCAATCTCAATTTATCAAGCTTAATTAAGCTTGATTTTCTGTTTTATGTCTTTTGGTTGGGAAAGTACCGTGTGATGGCATGGTTCCAGAAAAAGAGGGGTCTGGGTTATGCCTGTGGAAAGCATGATCATCCAGTGTGTTCAGGAGAGCAGGTGGCAGACTTTCTAGGGTCCATGCAGCATTCACATGACATATGTGATTATTTCTTGGATCAGTTGGCAGGGAAAATGTAAAGATTGATCTTTCCGTTCCCACATGCTTTCAGTGAAGTTGGAATTCTTTTGACAGATGGATGTGCTAGGCAGTGGTTCCAGGGACTGGTTAAAAACTCAGATTCCTAGCCCACCCACCAGAGATTCTGTTCACTAGTCTGGGGGCATTTGTGTACAACCAGGGGTAAGCCCCTCCCGCTGTTGACAGGGCTGCTCTGATAATGTCCTGGCCCCCTGTAGATCCAGAGGCTTGGAGTTAGGTAGTTTGTGCATAACCCAGTTCACTCAGAAGGATTGACAGGGGTCTCAGTCATCTTGTGTGGTTATATGTTCTGGGCATTTTCTAGTTGCAAATGAGTCTGGAAAAAAAGGAGAAGAAGAAAAAGAAGGAGAAGAAAAAGAAGCACAAGAAACATAAGCACAGAAGCTCAAGTAGTGATCGTTGCAGCAGTGAGGATGAGCGCAACTGGGGGAGGTGAGCATGTGGAGGCGGGCCTCCCTCATGGATTCATTCACTCATTCATTCCACAGACACTGAACGCCTACTCCATGCCGGGAACTGCCAGGGCCTGAGGTTTCAGTGGTGAACTCATACACGGGCCCTGTGCCCACAGAGCTGGCCATCTAGCACTAGAGTTCCTTGGAGATCTTGGCGTGACCCCATAGCCCTTTGGGTCTTCGGTCAGACAGCCTGGGTATGACTTTCATCTCAGCTGGTGATTTCTCTGAGACTGAAGCGAGTTTTATGTAGGCTTTTTTTTTTAATGCTTTAATGGACCCATCTGGGCCCATTCTGTATATCTTCTCTGTGGGAGCAGTCAGCATTGTCACTGCTGACTCACTCTTAGTCCCTGGAATAGCAGCACGAGGTGAGAGGAGAATGTGTTCAGGCATCAGAGCTGAAAAGCTGGTCCATGTTTTTGCTTTTTTCTCTACAGGAAAAACATGACTGTGCTGATGCATCTTCCAGCACAGACAGTCCAAATAGAGAGACACACTCCCAAGTCATAGCTGGGAGGTGGGAAAGGTCACCATTGAAGCAGGAAGCACATTTCAGCACAAGAGATGTAAACTGGACCTTTTTGCATTTTTTTTTTCAATGAGTGTGTGTTTTAATCTTTTAGGTCTCAAAAGAAGATGGTGAATTCTTCCTCTGTTTTACCCAAAGTTCCTGGGTATGGTTTACAGGTAAGGACGTGGGCTTTGCAAAGGGAGTGGGACTGTTGAATGTGCCAACTTGACAGCCTTTTAGATACAGAGCATTTTAGCAGCCAATCAAACGTGGGAAGGAGCGAGTTTGAGCAGCCAAGACTGGGGCTGCTGGGGAACAGGCCCATGCCTTAGCCCTGAGCTGAGGGCCCTCTGAGCAGAGAGGCTAAACCACAGGGGAGTGTTTAGGCATGCTGTCCATCCCTCTGCAAATAATAAACATGAAATGCATATATTTTAAGTGTACAGGTTGGTAATGTTCAGCAAATGCACATCCCTCTGGATTCCTTCTTTTCCCTCAGTATGTTTAACTTTAGGCCCTGTGCTCCGTGCTCTGCCTCTTGCTCCTCCTTAGGCTGCCGTGAAAAGCCAAGCGAGTTTAGGTGGTTGGGTGGGTACACTCTTTTAAATAATTCTGAAGATAACTTTCCTAAGTTTCGCTGTGAAGGGATTGGTTTACCCAGTTGTCTCCTTACAGAACCTCAGTGCTCATCCATTTTCGTGTCTCACTGCATTTTCTCCTGAGTGCTGCATTTTCCTAGGAATAGCCTTTCTTCCTTTCCTTGATGATACAGATCAGGGACTCCGACCATAGCCAGCGTCTGCAGGGCCCTTTGATGGCTGAGCCAAAAGGAGTGCATGGGTGGAAGAATCACTCCAGGTCCAGGAGCTCCTCCCCGTCACCTCCCAGACATGCCAGCAAGAAGAGCACCAGAGAAGGAGGGTCCCGGGACCGGAGGTCTCGATCCCCGGACAGAAGGTCACGGTCCCCAAGGCCAAGCAAAACGTGAGTCTTGGAATTCGCTGTGAAATAACCTGTGCGTGCCGGGGGCTGGTCACAACAGGTGATTTGCTCTTGGTGATATCTGTTTATTAATTTTTCTAAATGTCTTTGCTTTGTTACTCCCTTTACATCATTTGCCCCTCACCTCAATGTAAAGCTCAGGCCCCTAGAATGACATATTTTTTTAAATGTTTTAAAGTGGTTGCAGTCCACTTTTTAAGTATATATATATATATTTCTTACTGATTTCAGAGAGGAAAAAAGAGAGAGAGAGAGAGAGAACCATCAATGATGATAGAGAATCATTGATTGGTTGCCTCCTGCATGCCCCCACTGGGGATTGAGCCCACAACCTGGGCATGTGCCCTGACCGGGAATCGAATTGTGAACCTCTTGGTTCATAGGTCGATGCTCAACCACTGAGCCATGCTGGCCAGGCTAGAACTACGTATTTATATATTTGGAATCTCTAGAGCAAGTTTAATATCAAATCTTAGGTACCTTTATGCCTTTGTTTTCCTTCCACTTCTGCCCTCTGTTCTCTTCTATTTGGATTATAATTCTAACACAGTTAGCTTTTCTTCCATCGTTTAGGAACATGATAAAAGCCCTTGTGTTGAAAAACTTTTCTCCTCTCTGCCCTCTGTGTCTGTTACAGGCACAACTCTAAGGTAAACAGGAGAGAGAGGGGCCGAACTAGGAGCCCATCACCTAAAAAAGAGGCCTACCAAAGGCGGCACGCCCCTGGATACACCCGGTGAGTCAGGAGCCCAGCAGATAAACCCCAGCCCCGCACGCCCGAGCCTAGGAGCGGTCCAAACCTGGGCAAAGCGGACCATCTCTATCACCTTTTTGCCCAACCAGCTTTTTTCATTCTTCTTGTCAGCTTTTAAACGTTTGCCCCTCACAGTGGGAGGCACATTGAAGGGACAAACTAATTGTCTCTCAACATCTGTAAATTAGAGATTTCCATAGAAAAGCTTTTCTTGAGAGCGTGTCCCTTACTTGAGCATCAGCTGAAAGGGAAGCAGGGGACTCTCCTGAGGGCAGACAGGACTCTGTGTTTGAGTTGGGTGTGGAGTGGGTCAGACAGAATATAGGCGTGCAGCCCTGGGATCTGAGGCTGTGCCCATGAAAGGCTCTCCCGAGGGGTTGCAGTTGCTCTTAGTAGAAGTTTAGATGAATGAGCAACTTTTATTAACTGCCTTTTACTGCCCCTACAAATTGGCTGCACATTAAAATCACTTGGGAAGCTTAAAAAAAAATTCCCATTACCTAGCTACACCCCATCATAATCCCTGGGTGTGGGCCCAGACACTAGTATTTTGTTGTTGTTGTTGTTAATCCTCACTAGAGGATATTTTTTCATTGACTTTTAGAGAGAATGGAATGGAGGGGGAGAGAGACAGAAAAAAAATCAGTGTGGGAGAGAGACATCGATTGGTTGCCTCCTGCACACGCCCTGACCAGGGCCAGGGATCGAGCCTGCAACTGAGTTATGGTATGTGTCCTTGAGCGGAATCGAACCGGGGATCCTTTAATCTATGGGCCAATGCTTTATCCATGAGCCAAACCAGCTAGGGCCAGACATCAGCATTTTTTTAAAGCTCCCTGGTGATTCTGATGTGCAGCCAACGTTGAGAACCACCGAGAGTCTACAGCATCTTGTATTCACTGTGTTGTTAGAAGAGAGGTGGGTCCTAGGTCCCTTTTAACTATTAATTGCCTGATTCTCTAAGTTTCCAGGGAACAGAAACTTTTTTTAAAAGTTTATTTCTTTTTAAAAATATTTTTATTGATTTCAGAGAGGAAGGGATAGGGAGAAGGGAGGTAGAAACATCAATGATGAGAGAGAATCATTGATTGGCTGCCTCCTGCGCTCACCCTATTGGGGATCAAGCCCACAACCCTGGCATGTGCCCTTGACTGGAATGGAACCCGGGACCCTTCAGTCTGCAGGCCGATGTTTTATCCACTGAGCAAAACCATCTAGGGCTAAAAAGATTTATTTTTGACTGGCAACTTCCTGCCTGACCAAGCAAGGTATTTGGAAGGAAAGAAACTCATCCTGAGTTTGACAGTAGGTTAGGCATGTCTATGGAAAGAGCAGGAGGTGTAGAACCTGAGGTCCTACCTGATTTCTCTTCTCCCCGAGGTGGTTCCGGTTTTTTTGTTAGTAGAGAAGTAGACATGTTGGGATGGTGTTTGTGTTCAACAGAAAGCTCTCATCAGAGGAACTTGAGCGAAAACGGCAAGAAATGATGGAAAATGCCAAGTGGCGGGAGGAAGAGAGGCTGAACATCCTTAAGAAGCACGCGAAGGATGAGGAGAGGGAGCAGAGGCTGGAGAAGCTGGACTCTCGGGACGGGAAGTTCATCCAGTGAGTGCATCTTCTTCCTGCCCAGTGGCTTTCGTAGCGATGGTCCCAAGAAGGCAGTTGGGCAGCTGGTTCATTCCTTGTGTTCCCAGTGTGTCTGTGCCTGTGTCTGTGTCGAGAGATCATGGAGCTCAGGCTCCAGACCATCTTTGTTACCACTCCTAGCTTCTGGCCAGAGCTGGCCAGAGAGCAGGATGTTTTTAATTTGAGGGGAGGAGAAGGGAATTGGTATTTTCACTGAATCTCCTTGGCCTGCCTTTTAAATAAGAATTCATGGCTGAGGAAGTCTTTTTCCAATGAGGCTTTGACTATTTTCCAAAACATAAATTTTCCCTTTGAATCTGGTTTAAATAACTGAGTTCCAGATGGAGGCTTAAAAGAGGGTGTGTTTTTACAGCTGTTTTGTGGCTAGCAACCTGTTTCTTCTAATTTTGCTAGATGACCAGTTGACATGTTTGTCACTTACATTCGTCTGTCTTCTCTCCCCAGCCGCATGAAGCTGGAGAGTGCGTCCACCTCCTCCCTGGAGGACCGGGTGAAGCGGAATATCCACTCTTTACAGAGAACCTCGGTAGCCCTGGAGAAGAACTTTATGAAAAGATGAAACCATCCTCTCTTGCTGGTTTTCCTGAATGTTCCAGGGAGGCTGCTGACCCTTAAAAATTCTCTTTATAAGAGTTCAAGTGACTTCTTCCACAGACGTCAAACCACCACTGTTCAAAGTGACTCTCCTCCGTTGACTCCTAAAACAGCTACTTCCTTTGCGAACTTGCTGTATGGGACCCTCAGCAACTTTTGCTGGGTGCAGAGTGGGTTTTGACTGTTTTTAATGGTGGGCACTGGACCATCTAGGTGTGAGCACTCCTGCCACTCTGGAGGGCTGCTTCCTGTGGTTGCGGTTCATATTATGCCTCTTTCCTCCCACTTGTGAACACCTATTCTACCACCTCAGCATATACCAGTCCTTTTAGGAGCCTCACTCTCCAGGCGCTGAGATAGATTGTGCTCACTGGGGTAAATGGACATTTACTTGATTTAGTAGGTAGGTGACAGGGTGAGACCAGGTTAGGGCAGAGCCAAGGGAGTGACAAAGAATCTGGAAGGGGAAAATATTTTTAAAATCCCTAAATGAACTGTTGGAACCATTGGACTATCTTTCAAACTAACTGTAAAAGTATTGTGTGTGTGTGTGTGTGTGTGTGTGTGTGTGTGTATGCACACACAAATGGTAATTTTTAACATGCTTTTTAAAAAATGTTAGCTTTGTGAGAATATCTTGTTTGGTAAGTGACTTTACTATGTAATGGAACCACATTGTATCTTGATATTGAGTAATACAGTAAAGCAGCTCAGCTTTTTTCCCCCCCTTTGCAAATTGAGCTAGTTTAGGAGGGGCTGGGTGCTTAGAGTCTTTGATGTGAGAAGTGCAATGATGAAGTCAAATGATTTTATGAGTCAGGACCAAATTGGCAGTATGCCCCCTGGCTCTTAAAAAATAAAAAATAAATGGAAGCTGTTTATATTTTATGGCTTCCTTTTATCATGTAGTAATCCTATCACAATAATTCTAGATTTCCTGAAGCTGTTTGCTACTATTTTTTAGTCAGTTATTAAAAAACCCAAAAAGTTATGGTTCCAATCTCCTGTCTTCTTTCCCTTCTCTATTCTTTCACCACAAGCCCTCATTTGACCCATAACTCTTTCATAGGCACTCTTGACCCACACATTAGCTGAGCTCTTCCTTTTCTACTAATTCCTAATTCTGCTTAAAACAAACTTGGATTTATATTTTTGAGCACTTACAACACAAGGCACTGTAATATTTAAAACCTAGTCTTCAGAGAGAAAGTAACAAACTTGTTACTTATTTAATCACTTCATCCTCTTCCCCTATGATAGGGTTAATAATGTATCTTATGTTACTTGGTAATAAAGGCTACATTTATTTTTGTAACTGCTTAAAGAGCTACCATGTGCTGAGAAGCAAATTTGCGTATTTCCTTCCATTCAGAGCACTATGACCCACCATTTAGGTCAAATACCTGGAGATCCTTGGTCCGAGAGGAATTATGTAACAAAGATTTCATGAAGTGAGCCAGAGAATAAGATGGTTATGACTGCTGTAGGACAGGTGTCTTAAGGTGCCAGCAATCTCTTCACTTGACCCTTTGGCGGGAGGAGGCCCGGGCAGCAGGTGGGTGAGCGGGGAGCCCATTCATAAAACCCTGGGCTCCCGGCCGGCTCTTCTCATTGGCCCTGGGGCGGAGGGGCGTGTCCTGTGGGTGGGACGCTGCCTAGGCCCGGGGGAGTGGAAAGACCCACGCTGGGGTGGGGCGAGGGGGCGTTCCTTGGCTGTCCCTGCAGGACTTCCTTTTCCCTCCGCCGCTCCTCCTCCCCCCGGGGTGGGGATGGTACGTCCCACCCTCCTCCCTCCCTGCGCCGCCATCTTGGCACGTCAGGTTGCAGGAAACAGCCAAACCCTGGCTTTGGGGGCCCGAACAGGGACCCCTCCCCCCAGCCCTTCTCCCCTCCTCGCTCCGGTGCGGGGCTTCGGCCGGGTTCCCGTCAGGCCCGGGGAGGAGGGGCGGGCGGGGCGGCCGCAGCCTCCGGGGGACGGGCGGTACCACCCCAGCCGGGAGCTCGAGGGCCGGCCGGACGGTCCCACCGCCCGGGGGCGGGGTGCCGAGCGGGCTGGCCGGCTCCCTGGGGGCGGGGCGGGGAGGGCGGGGCCTGGGGCGGACGGAACCACCAGGGCGGGGTGGGGAGGTAACGGGACGGGCGCGACCATGGAGCGGTGAGGGAGCGGGGGTGGGGATCGGTCCGGGGGAGGCCTGGGGCCGCTGGCGTGTGCGCTGTCTCGGCCGCCCCCCCTTTCGCCGCCGCCGCCGCCGCCCCGGGCATGTCGTCCAACTGCACCAGCACCACGGCGGTGGCGGTGGCGCCGCTGAGCGCCAGCAAGACCAAGACCAAGAAGAAGCATTTTGTGTGCCAGAAAGTGAAGCTATTCCGGGCCAGCGAGCCGATTCTCAGCGTCCTGATGTGGGGGGTGAACCACACGGTAACCAGCTCCCCAGCGCGCTCCCACGCCCCCCGCCGCCCCCGGCCTTCGCCCCGCGGGCCCTGCCGGCGACGCCTGCAACCCCTCGCCCAGCCACTTGCACGCCCACCCCGCCCTTGCACGCCGTCCCGGCCGGGTGTGCGCTCCCCGTGCGCCACGCGAGGCCTGGTGTCTCCGTGGAACGCCGTGGCCGCCTCCCCTTCCCTCCAGCCCCTCTGGCTTCCTGCGTCGGCTGTGCTCGCTTCGGGCCGCCCCTGGAGCGCCGAGGGAAGGCCTGGGTGCGGGGGCATCGCCCGCATCCCCGCTCCCTCTCTTTGCGCCTGGCCCGGTGGGTTGCATGTGTCTCACCCCGGCTCCTTATACCCCGCTGCCAGCTCACTGTCTAGGTGACAGGGCAGGTGGCATTGGCCTGCCCGCCTGTGCCTCTATTTCTGGTCGCTTGGTTGGTGTGGCTCCTCAAAGTTTCCCGTCCTCCTGGCTACGGGGAATCCTTCCTGGGTTTCCTTTTTTCCTACTTGAACAAGATGTGCCACTGGAGAAGCACAGGCTTCCTTGAACCACAGACACTTGACCAGGGTGTTCCCGGGTTAGGGGGAAGAGAAAAGGTGAGGCCGGGTTTTAAGGACCGTTCATGGTAGACATAATGCTTTCCTGCTTTCTCCGATGGCATAGGACCGATGCTGTTCATGTCCAAGCCTTTGACTTCTCATTTATTTCGCCTTCTATTGTATGGCCATGCAGGGTGTGGTAATGGGTGGTGATTGGGATGGAGAGGGGTCCCCTGGATCCTTGGGGTGCTTTGAGATGGTCCAACGCTCCCTGTGAGGAAGCTGGGGCCCAGTCCAGAGTTTAGCTGGAGGGCTTTGTTTATGTCCTGTGCGTTCAGGGTCTATCTTTCTTCCTCTTCCAATCACTTGCCCCCCTGCACTCTGACCATTTCATTGTGAGTCCCTAGGCCAGGAATGAGCAAAAGAAGTCAAAGGACCGAAACAACCAGCTCCACCAAGTAAAAGTTTGCAGTGAGGAGGAGGAAGCTAATGGCTTGCATTTCCGTTCTTTAGTCCCCCTGGCTTTTCTGAACACCTGAGATGGCCAATAGACCACATGGTGATGGAGGGCCCCAGGGCCGGCAGGACTTTGCTTTGGTTTGGTAGATGGATAACCCATAGCCTGAGCCATGATTTTAGACCAGGGGTGGGCAAACTTTTTGACTCGAGGGCCACAATGGGTTCTTAAACTGGACCGGAGGGCTGGAACAAAAGCATGGATGGAGTGTTTGTGTGAACTAATATAAATTCAAAGTAAACATCATTACATAAAAGGGTACGGTCTTTTTTTTCAATAGTTTTATTCATTTCAAATGGCCGGATCCAGCCGCGGACCGTAGTTTGCCCACGGCTGTTTTAGACCTTTACCTCTAACATAGAGAAGCACCTGTGTAAGGCGAGGTCTTTCTTGGTTCTTGGGCAGGATGCTGTTTTCAGCACTGAGGTGAGGGTCCTGGCCACGGCAGGGAGTACGGCGGATTTAATGGCCAGGCCTCTGGGAACTGCTTCTGGCTGACAGTCCAGCAGTTCCTCCTGCTTCGTGCTACCTCAGGGGTCATTTGACATCAAAATGGGAACCCCGTGTCACTGCCTGGAAGTCAGTCCTTGATTTTGTCCTGCTGCCCGCCTCTCACTAGAAGGCATCCTTTCTGTGCAGAGAGCTGGTCGAGATCTGAGCCAGGAGTGCTGTGGACGCAGCTGTGTCCGGCGCTGTGGGCTGTGCTGGCCAGTGGTGCTGCTTGCGTGGCGTGTCTCCTTTGCCTCCTGTTCCTTGTCCTGTCTCTCAGCCGAGTGCCAGGGACAGCTGGGAATTATAGTCTTGTTAGAGAACCCGAATGTCTGCTCCACTGTGTGCACCTGTGCAGGGGCGTGTGCGTGGTGCTTGGTTTTCTGATAGGCAGGTGATCGGCTCAAGTGGGGGCATCAGGTGGAAGCCTCGGCCTGGCAGGGGGACGGGTGTATCTGTGATTCCTACTCAGGTGGGCGCAGCGGTCACCCTCTTGCTTTGCTAACTCAGTTTGTTTGAGGGCCAGCTGGGAAGGCGTTGACTGTAAGCAAGAGCCATGCCTCTGGGCATAATGAGCAGGCACCTCAGGGAAATGCTGGAGGCACCACAGCCCCGGACTGGCTGAGTGAGCTTCAGAGGTCACTTAGTCCCAAGTTTTGTTGCTTCAACTCAGCCTGTAATGCAGTGGTTCTCAACCTTGGCTGCACATGAGACTCACCTGGGAATCTTTAAAATCCTGATTTCTGGGCCTCATCCTCCGGAAATTCTGTTTCTTTGTTATTCATGTTGTGGCCTCACCCCATAACAAAGAAACAGAATTTCTGGAGGACGAGACCCAGAAATCAGGAATTTAAAGAGATTCCCAGGTGATTCTCATGTGCAGGCAAGGTTGAGAACCACTGGACTAGGATGAAGCCCATGAATTTGGTGGAGGAAGATTGTATAGGAAACAGGGAGAAAAATCAAGAGACTTTGGGTTTGTCAGGGAGAACTGAAGTTTTAATGGATGAAACACAGTTCAAAGGGTCTGGAATTATGGAAGAGGTAGCTTTTGAGAGGGGTGTGGAGACCAGAAGAGACAGACCTGACTTGATAACATGTTGCCCATGTTAGGAACCAGGCGTTGGTGAAGCCTCACCCAGGTGATCAGAAGGAATAGGAGCAATTGATGGTAACTCTGTGTTCCCACTTAGAAGTAACTCTGTTTAACCATCAGCCTTGGTCTTCAAAGTGGCTGCACCATTTTACATTTCCACTAGCAGTGTGTGGGTGTGGGGGGGGGGTCCTTGCCAACACTTGCTACTGTCTGTCTTTTTTTTATTGTAGCCATCCTAGTGGATGTGAAATGTTATCTCATTGTGATTTCAGTTTGTTTCTTTTGTAACTAGTGAAGTTGAACATCTTTTCACGTGCTTATTGGTCATATTTTATTTTCATTGGAGAAATGTCTATTAAGATGCTTTGCAAAAAAAAGTCCCTTTGCCCATTGAAAAAAAAGTTTTTGCATCTTTTAATTGGTTTATTTGTCTTTTTATTACTGAGTTGTAAGAGTCCTTGATATATTCTGGATACAAGTTACTTATTAGATATGTGATTTGCAAATATTTTATCCCATTCTTTGGGTTATCTTTTTCACTTTTTTGGTGTTTTCTTTTGAAGCTCAAGTTCTTAATTTTAATAAACTCAGACTTATCTTTTTTTTTTTTATTGTGCTTTTGGTGCCATATCTAAGAAGACTTTGCCTAACCCAAGGTCATGAAGATTTTTTCCCCTACATTTTCTCCTAAGAAAAACTGTTTTTTTAAAAAAATATATTTTATTGATCCTTTACGGAGAGGAAGGGAGAGAGATAGAGAGTTAGAAACATCAATGAGCTGCCTCCTGCACATCTCCCACTGGGGATGTGCCCGCAACCTAGGTACATGCCCTTGACCAGAATCGAACCCAGGACCTTTCAGTCCGCAGGTCGACACTCTATTCACTGAGCCAAACCGGTTTTGGCAAAAAACTCTTAAAAACAAAACAAAAAACTCTTATAGTTTTAGCTCTTATATTTAGGTTTGTAATCCACTTTGCATTAGTTTTTATGTATGGTGTGAGGAACAGATTCATTCTTTTCTTTTCTTTTTTTTTTTAGGCTTATTTATTTATTTTTTATTGATTTCAGAGAGGAAGGGAGAGGGATAGAGAGATTGAAACATCAATGAGAGAAGAATCATTGATTGGCTGCCTCCCGAATGCCCCCTACTCGGGGGGAATCGAGCCGGTAACCCAGGCATGTGCCCTTGGCCGGAATTGAACCTGAGACTCTTCAGTCCGCAAGCTGACACTCTATCCACTGAGCCAAACCA